CATATCGTACATCTCTACAGCCTGACACACTGAATGACTGCATGCAACTCTCCATAAATGGGGATTCAGTTGAATCTTTTTGCCCTGACAAGGCAGTTAGTTTCTGGATGTTTTCTGGAAAAGGTTCAAGACACATGGAACATAAAACCCCGACAAGAATAAAGAGCAGAGAAGTGGAGACTGATGCACAGGAGAAGGGTGATGAAGAAGATGCTATGTCCTCAACGTCGAGTGCCATTTGTGACTTCAGTTGATATGTCAGATTCAATATGACACAGTTGCTGATTATTGATATTCTACATTAAAAATATTTTTCTTATTTTATTCAGGCTACTTAAATTCATTTCGGGCTAGTAAAAACCAAAGAGTACCTGCCCGAAGGGTTACCAGGGATTTTGAAATTTTGCGAGCCCTGCATTGATAATAATCAAGTACATGGGCAGATTAACAAGCACATGTTAATCACCTTATATTTTTAACAGCACTATGAATATAAACTCATAATAATCATCATCATGTTTCAAAAGGTGTTTCCATCCATGTTGTTAAAACTGCGTTAACTAAGATTTAGCACAAATTAGGATAAATCAAATAAAAATGTCTAGATGTGTTTTCTCCCTGCTATACTACCTTTTCGATTTTCTACCTTTGTACTGAATTACTCTGGCTGTATTTGAGTCAATTCCAAATGACTGCAACATTAGTGAGTGAGTTTTCCCAGATTAGCTAATTTTTGCTCAGTTTGGTCCAGTTTATGCAACTCACAGTTCTGTGTGTCAACTATGTAACACTGAATGTGATGTGATAGTGGCTGGAACAGTAGTACTATATCAATGTTAATGGAAAAAAAAACCCATTGAAGCTTAATTTGTCTTTAAATGGACAAATTTTGGACTCTAACATCCTAATTTCCATATGACACCCTGAAGCATCTTACTCACCTTTCTGGGGTCTGGATGTTGTCCAGATCCTCTATGTCCAGGACCATCTGCTGGGACTCCTCCTTGGCTGTCTCAGTCTTCTCCTCTGCCAGCTTGAGGTAAGCCCTGACCACATCCTCCAGAGACTTGATATTCACCTGAGAGCAGAGACAGGCGTTTCACTTCAAAATACTCTGGTGCAGCGAACTGACATGACATGCACGAATATCACACATTTGTCCTCACACACCTGCTGGCAGATGTTCTTGTACTGATAGAGGCCCTCCTTTGCTAGGTGGCTTTTGCGGAGATCCACGCAGAGCTCCAGGTATTTGAGCATAATGGGCTCGTGGATCTTCTGCCATGTTCGATGTTTCTTGCTCTTGATGACATCGTACAAAACATCCAAGGCTGGCTGTTTCTTGCCAACCTCAAGGAACTCTGCACAAGCACATTACATGTTAACATTAATCTAAGTTACCCCAAAACTCAAAGCATCTTTCACCGTCTCTAAAACACCTTCACACGCCGTGGTTCGCTAAATCTGCCTGACACAGGCCCACGCTGATGCTAAGTGAACGTAACTTTAGCATTAACTTAATGCACTAGTACTCTGACAGTAACGTTACCTAAAACGCACTGTCAATAACATTGTAAAGCTGCTATGAGTATTAACACTTATTTAAAAGCCATCTAGGTTTTTAAAATGTTACCGATTCTGCACAAGTTAGTACTGCAACAACGGCCTACCGGTTAGTTAACAGCTAAACACTAACGCCCGCCATTGCAGCAGTTTTAGCAGTTAGCCCGGCTAACCACGCCGCTGCATTACAGTGACGACGCTAGGCAGTTAGCATGAATTTGTGACATCTGTGAAACATGAAGCAGTGTTTCTACCCACCATTGGCTCGTTTTAGAGCGTTTTCTGGCCGTTGAAAATACGCCGGCATTTCGGTGGCGTATTACTGAAAATCAAAATTGGCTGACTTGAATGAATTATAATAAATTTCACCGGTCCATCCAAGCCACGCAGTCATTCACTGCAAAGTGCTAGCTGGGAAAGGAAGAACCTCGTGAACGGCCTAGCCTGTGTTGCCAGGTGCAGCACGTCCTGTCCACAGCGCCAATAGACGTAAAATGCACAGAAATTTAAGTTTTGTTTTTATCAGCAATTGTTTCGAATATTCAAGGGTTATGGTTTCAATCTATTTGTTTTATTTCTTTTTTAAACTTTTTTAATATTCATATCACATTTGTGAACTTGCACATCACTTAACCACCACAGTATGTGTTTGTACAAATAACAACAGGCTTAACTGGACCTTCCATACTTATATTTGATACCAATAAATAAATTTTGGCACATATTTTACCACATATTATTACACACCCTTGTACTAAACAGCAGCCACGTGATGCATGTGGTTTTATCTAATCTGTTATTATTATTATTATTATTATTATTTATTTTTGTTTTATTTACTGATTTGTAACCATGGGTGCATATTAAAATGTTAAAAAAATGAATAAAGCGGATAAAGTATGAGATACTGAGAACTATTCTGCATAAGCCATATATAATAGGATTAAGTATGATGTGAATGTGAAATGTTTGAATAAGACGCAATACACAGTAGGCAACTACTCTACAAAACCTAGATTTCCCAGATGGGGGTTTTCAACAAACCTGGCAGCTCTAGGTGTGTTCTCTTCTGAGGGTGGGTTCACATAACACTCGTATATTATCAACTATTTCGATGTAGATCGAGCACACAGCTGTGTGGTCAAAACGCCCTACAGCTCCTAAAACAGACATTTGAATTACGCCGTTAAAATGGTTCTTTTGTTAGGTGGTCTTGGCATAAAAGTGAAACACAATGCTAGCCTGAAAGAGTGAATAATAATAATGTCTGGTCTTTTGTAAATTAATCAATTCTAAAGTTCTGTTGTAGGTCGAAACTGTTTTCTTCACACTGGAGATGAAATGAGGAAGCATAATAATCTCAAAACCTTTAGGCGAATTCACATTGACACTCCTCTCCACTGATGTCATACAAAATACAGTGGCTTAATATATAAAATATTATAGAAAGCAATCAAAGGAAACCTGTGATGCAGGTGTTGTTTTCTTCAAGCAGAGCTATTCTGCTGTCAAACCTTGTTAAACTGCTTTGTTGATTTCAGCGAATGCTTACAGCAAACGTGCTGTGGAAATATGTTAAGACAAAAATCATCTGATGCTTAAAAATTAAAGGATTGGATAAGAAAGAAAAAAAAGACATCATTCCAAAACCTATAACAATACCAAAATAAAATTGTCAATATGTATATACCAAGAACTAGTCATTTGATTGTTTTACGGTAATTAGTGAACCGGCATTATCGGATTGACAAAGACTCAAATCAGAAGTGCAGGCAGCATTTTTATTGGCATTTCACGTTTTGTTTGTATAATTTTATAATTTCAGCAACCGTGAACGCACCATTACCCCTGAAGTATTGCCAGCTGTGATTGGCTAAAAGCAGCGCGTCTCCTCCTCCTGCACGAGCCTCCTGTCCCGGAAGAAGGAAGAGATTTCGCAAATAGGGAGAATTCTGTTGATAGCAGAAATCAGACCCAGTCCATAGATACGTTTCGACACATTTTATGCTTCATTAAATCTGTCGAGGATCGCATTCTGGCATTTGGACCTCGCAGGAGTTCTCAAGGTATTTCATTTGTGACCAGAAAGGGAGGTGGTTGGTGGTGTCGCTCCAGTTAACTTGTGTTGATGAACTCTTGCAGGTATGGAATATGGCAGTGACTGAAACACAGCTTATGTTAAGCGTCGGGTTAATAGGTAAGCTTCAGTTCAGAGGTCGTTTCTTGGTTAAAGCCTAGTTGAAATATCAAGCTTACTGTACGTGCAGGAAAATCACATGATACCAGTGTGACCCAAAAGTGTCCCAATCAGTAGGGCTCCACTGCGTCCTTGCTCCTGCATGTTTGGCCTGTAGGTAAATGAGCTGGTCATGGATGACTGCCTAAGTGCATCCAGTAACACAGACCTCCATGTGATACACTTTACTCCTAGGATGCTCTGTCTTAGAACATTTGTTATTTAATTTAACATTCACGCAGTGTTATTTCTTCCTCAGAGAAAGATGTGAATGGAGACACACTGTGGGTGTGGTGCTATCCCTCTGTGAGCTCAGACCTGAGGCAGGTACTGCTCAGCAAGTGCTGTCTGACACAAGATGGCCGCAATTTCCACAGCTTTGTGTTTGGTCAGTTCTGCCGTACCTGGTACTACATCACCACAGTGGATGTACAGGAACCTACAGCACTAAACAAGGTATAGCATCTTTACCCAGAGGCTCCTTGATCATTAGTAATGTGCAATTAATCTGCTAGTCCAGTTGATTTTTTCTAAGTTTTTTCATCTTACTATGACCTGGATGACTGAGAATCTGCGCAGACATAATCTGCTGAATGTTTTATAGTTAAAATGCAAGATAATAGAGGAAAAATGTCCATCATAGTTTGCCAAAGATCAAGGTGATGTCCTCAGATTGCTTGCTTATCCAGTCAACAGCCCTTTAGCCAAAGATATTCAGTTTACAGTGACATAAAGTAGAGAAAAGCTGCAAATCTTCACATTTAAGATGCTGGAACAAACTATCGTCTGATATCTTTTCTCCATAAATGAGTTAAAATTGTCAGTTCATTTTCTGTCATTCAACTAATTTGTTTCAGCGCTAAATGATTTTGCTTCTGTACATCAGCATTTCTTCACAGTACTTGCATTGAGTTTGGTTTTTGTGTCTGTCTTTTCCCTTCAAGGTGACTCATTTTTCAATAGTTGTTACAGCAAAAGACTTCAACCCTGAGAAGTATGCTGCACTCAGTAGAATACTCTGCAGGTAACCGTGTTTATTCTTGGCTATTTCATCATATTTGGGGCTGTGTTTATTCATTAGAGTGGTGTCTTTTTTTTATTGTTCAGGATGTACGTGTCTTTTTTTTTTTTTTATTGTTCAGGATGTACATCAAGCATGGCAGTCCAGTGAAGATGATGGAGGCTTATATCACCGTCCTCACCAAAGGAATTTGCCAGAGTGATGAAAATGGCTCGTTTCTAATCAAGGACTACGATGTTCGGAAGGCGTACTTGGCAGGATCAGTCAAAGGTAAAACATCACAGTTTGAGATGATTTTTAATCCGATTCACTTTCATTACGACACATTATATCAGAGGTGAAACTTGATTTATCAATTTAAATCAATTTATTCATCGACAGAAAATCTGCCTTTTTGGAGACTGAGTAAAAATGCTAAACACTGACTTGTTCCAGTTTCTTGAATTCAGTGATTTCCTTTTTTTTTAAGTGATATTACACTCACTGACTTCTTTAGAGTTTGAAGTGTTAGAATGACAAAACATACAACTGATGTCACCTTGTGCTCTGAGAAATGCAACTTCTTTCACATTTTCTTTAATCCGTTCAGTGATTAATTGAGGAAAAAAATCAACCGATTAATTGATGGTAAAAATAGTTAGTTGTAGCCCTAAATCATATTTGAATAAGTAGGGCTAAAAAGAAGTACTACATGTCTGTCAAAAGTTGGGATAACCCATCATGACATTTTTCCAGATCTTGTTTTATCTGAGCAATATCCCAAAACATTTAACTAACTTTCATAGAAGAGTAAGAAAACCAGAAAATATTCATATTTAAGACAGAAGAGTCACTGTGTTTTTACTTAATCGATTTGTCCGGATTAGGTTTGCAGCAGTATACCATTGTTACGGTATACCGTGTTATGAAAACTGACTGTTATCATACCATGTACATTTACTTATTACTAGTACTGAGAGAAAAAAAAAACGCAATGCATGCGCCTCTTTCCTTCCCAACTGCCTGTCAGACTCTGCAATGGGCACCACACGCACACATTCAGTGGACAAAGGGCAGAGAGAAGGAGGCTGAAAGCTCCAAACTCCATCCACCAAAAATGTATCTCAAAAACAAACACTTTTGAGAACAGCATCTCTTCGTTCTCTTATGGTTGCTCTCGTTTAGCCGATCCTGTGCTTTTATTTTGGCCCTTTTTCCACTTCGCTTCACCTCACCTGCTCCAGCTTGTCCCCAGCACAGTCACTTGCATTAAAATAAAGACCCGTTTGTCATTCTCCTGAGGGTTGTTGTAGCTGATTATAATAGTAATTGTGTAATACTGTATACCATGATATTTTCTGAAATGGTTATCATACCTTTGCAAACCTAGTCCTGATTGTTGTGTTTAATCTTCTGGTAATTGGATAATGAAATCTTTGCTGCTACAATTGTATGTGTCAGACATTTATGGTACCAATTAACGCTGTTCAACATTCACCTTTAATTGGAGTTGAGTGAGCAACTTGTAGCTGATTTTGTTTATTGAAGTGGAAAAGGCAACCAAGCAGTTTTCTTTCCTTATTGGCACTGACAAAAGTGACATTTAACCATCTAATGCTGGAAGATGGTAGAAGAACACTGGGACCACAACCCAGATTGCTTCAGAAATGAAAGCGGGTCAACCGGTTTACCTCCACATTTATGTTCTGTCTCAGATGTGGTGTCTCAGTTTGGTATGGAGACTATCATTCTGTATACTGCTCTCATGCTGAAGAAGAGGATTGTTGTCCACCACCCTCGGATTGAAGTCTTGTTGGAGTTTACAAGGTACAGCTGACAGTAAAATTCAAAATATTTGGGTTATAATTTGGTGGTGGAGATGACTGTCTTTACCTGTTTCCCTTCAGAGTTCTGCCAGCTCTGACATGGCACAGGAAAGACTGGTCCATCCTGCACCCGTATGTGCACCTGACTGCTTTTGAACTGGAGGATTTAAAAAACTGCCCTGGTGAGTCTAACTCTGGGTTTATTTATTCTAATTGACTGTCTCCTCCTCATGCCACGATCTGCTCTGGCACTGTGCTGTCATGATGGGGAGTGAATATTTGTGCACCCCTGCATTTGTGTTGTCCACAGGGTACGTAGCAGGGTTTGTAGATCCAGAGGTGAGTAAGAGAGCTGACCTGTTTGATGTGTATGTGAACCTCCCAGACAGCGTCATTACAGTATCCCAGAGTGCCAAAGGTACAGCATATTTAAAGAGAAAGCAAAATGTTTCCAAGTGTGCCTTGATTTCTGAGAGAGTGGAACAGCGTTTCCCACAGATTGACGTGCATTGTTCCAACACAGAGGCCATGGCTATGGGGAAGTTACACAAGGACATTGGTCACCTCATTGTCCAGTCTGCAGAGGATGCTGAGAGGTCAGATAGTCAGGTGATTAAGGTAAGAACAAACTCCATCATGTTGGTATTCAGTCTACAGTTGTGTGAAATGTTGTCTCGAGTCTAACATGTCGGCCACACGTTCATTCACAGGACATTTCAGTCAAGACTAAAGAGATCCTTGCCAACTTGGTTGCCCTGGCTAACAAGTGTGAAGACTCTAAAATCACACTGGAAGATTTAAAGCAACACAATTTCCCCCCTGCAACGGAGAACTTCCTCTTTCATTTGGCAGCTGCTGAGCAGCTCTTACACATATAAGCCAACTTTCAGGCATGCCACTGCAGGGTGACCTTAGTGTCAGCAGTTTGTTTTGTGAGCTGGAATAATTGCTGTGTTCTGAAAGGGTTCCGCACGCTCTCATGTTGACTCTAAGTGTGCACAGGACACTTTCTGACAGTGATCTTTATGGTCAGGAAAGCAGCAATGTGTCTTTAGTATTATATTTTAGCTTGCACTGTTGTGCTAATGAGTGAGATGACACATCTTGAACCAACACCAGGATGTTTTATATCATAGAAATAAAGGATTTTGGTCATCATTTCTATTTTTCTTACTGTCAACAAATCCCATGAAAAGCCAAAACCAAGAATGAAGTGATCCCATTAATAACTCTGTGTATCTGTAGCCTGATATTCTTTTGTGCCATGGAGCTGGAGTTATTCATAAACTACTAGAAACACATCAGTGATGCACTGGTTGACATGCTTCCTTATTATGATCAGTATGGGCACCACAGTTCATTGTGACTCAGTCCCAAATACACAGTCCTGCTGCTGTAAATACTCACTAAAACACCAATGTGTATTAATCCATGGCTGAAAGTAGTCCCCAGGAAAGGCTTAATTCATTCCTGTGTGAGAAAGGGTTTGCTGGAGACTCTGGTGCCCAGCAGTTTTAGGAAATTAATGTAGCTTTTTTTTTTTTAATTAAGCTGTTTATGGTGCTTTTTTTAATCTAAATCTTTAGAAGGATCCACTGGGCTTAAGGCTGAGTGCTACAGAGAGCAGAGTTTAGTTTTTAAAGACAAACTAACACATTGTTGGTTTTGGTCTTTCCATGGGATTCTTGACTCAGATATAACAAGCACGATTTAGTAATGAGTTAGTTGTATACGGTTATTAAATCACAACTGCAACAGACTTTGTACAACATAGGTTTATTTTCATTTTTAAATATCACCTTTTGTATTTTACTAATGACTAATGCCACACAACTGAAATATAAACAAAGTTGTGGTAGGTTTTTCAAACAGTGTTTTATTAAGAAAACTAATAGAAAAGAATTGTTTCTCAAATCTGCAGTTGATCAAATATTAATCTATGCTTCCACTGATTTACATTGTGTGTGTCTTCATGTTCTCAGTATTTTTTTTATTAATGTATAGTAAGCACTGTTTTTCTGTTGAGTACGTTTTCAGCCACATTGCTAAACGGATGGTTTTGTGCCTCAGTATTTCATATAAGACAATGCAATACATAGAAATGTTCATAAAACTAAATGTATTTTCATGAATAGATGTAATATTTCCTATCTACAAGTATATTAATATAGCAATTACAAATATTTACTATAAAAAAACAGTTTCTGGTTTCTCAAAAGATTCTACAAGAAAGTGTGAGACAAAACTGCTTTTATGTTTCCAGCTGCATGTTGCTGAATAACACCTTTATTATCCACTAACTGCACTTTAGGTCTCTTAACATATCTACTTGGTTTAAGCAGCTTCTCACAGTCCTCTGTGATAGAACAAATGTCCGTTGCCTGCTGCAGCCTGCAGCTCCTCCTCCAAATTCTCCTTCTTTATCTGTCAAACAAGAACAGTGTTGGTATCAGTTCATCAGAAGGACAGCATGACAGCTGAGCAGAGGATCCTGAATCTTACCATTTCCAGTTGTGGAAAGAGACTGAATGACACAGGGATCATCAGGCCCAGAACAACCACAACACTCATGTGATGGAAAGGTCTTGTTCTGTAATGTACAGTCTAGTTGGTGAAGTCTAATAGGTGCAGGTGAGCAGAACTAAAGTGAAATGTAACTCACCCCCGTATGAGCAAAACCAGCAGATTAGGAATGACAGCGGTCATACCAAAAAGTGCTGCTCTTGACAGCGCAGTTTCAGTCACAGCCTGGACAAAAAGAAAACTGTTTAACACTGCAAGTTTTCAATAAGGAGACTTATTTTTGTCCATATGTTCCCTTTTTTAAAAACCTTTTCTCCTGCAGCTTTAGAGATGCCGACAGGATTTCCATTGGTATCGAACACTTGGATCCCAGTTTCTGACTCCACACTTCTGACAGTATACACATTGAAAAAGGCCAGAGCAGCTGGAGGAAGTCACACTCCAGGTTAGTGCACAAAGTCCTACTTGCTACTGCAGTTAATGTAACTCACAGGTTAAACCAGCAAATGTGCCATTTCATGTCTGACTTAGGGTGAATTTATAATGTCTGGACCTACAGTAGCAAGTAAGAGTAAGTGAATACTATGGAGCTACCTGCATTTATCTTCAAACATAGTCACATCTTCATATAAGTTACAATAATGAACAAACACAAATAACTAATAACACACGAGCGCTCTCCAAAAAACATCATGGTACACCTGAAGTTTGCCAAAGAGTACCGCAGAACTCCACAGCACTAAAAGGAAGAACGTACAGCACTGCATCTGGTGCAAAAAGGACACTTCATAGCAACATGAAAACATCATCCCAGAGGTGGCGTATGATGGAGGAAGCATCATGTTGTGGTGCTGCTTTGCTGCCTGTGGGTCTGGACAGTTTGCCATCATCAAGGGGAAAATGAATTGCCGAGGTTATCAAGGTGTCTTAATGGATAATGTCAGGGTGGCTGCAGGTTTTGTGACACCACAGGACAATGAAGTGAATCTACTACAGTTTTTGAACAGCAATGGAGGCCTGTGACAAGGACGAACAATCTAATCCAGGACTGACCAACTGACAGTCGTTAACAGTGAGTAAAGTCACTATTAGTTTTAGTCTCTGTATAAGGAGAGATAAAATATTCTTAATATAGAGAATGACCTGCCTTATCCTTTAAATCCAAAGGTTCAATTTTTTTTAAATTTCAGAATAAATACTTTACCTGAGAGTGGGATTGGTAATATTGACCTAAAGAACGTCCGGAGCGGTGGGCTTTGTATACTGAGTTGCTTAATGAAAATGTGAGGAAGGGCCTAAAACAGAGGATACATTTAAAAAGAAGTTCAATAAGAGTTACACTTGAAACATGACAGTCAGCAGTGAACAGAATCAGGTTGAACACACCCCTGCACATGTTGTACAGGACACTGTTCCTGTGATCAACAGAAGCTCTTTGAAATGCCTCTTCTTATCCTGGTTGTGAGACATAAAGAGACAGAAGGAGGTCTTCAGAGTAAAGACTGGACATTATTCGTGGATTCATCATAAAGGAGTAACTGTGACTGATGGTAGTATTTCATAACTCAGTATCTGAATATATTTGGCGATCTCAGCTGTTATTGATACATTTTAAACATATATCACCTGCTCTGGTGAAGAGCTTCTGTTTGCATAGTTGAACCCAGCACTGTAACTCTGCAGCAGAAACTGAGAGGATACATTTGTACCATTAATGTGTTATCACCACATGTAATGTATTTATATTAATTTGATGATAAATGTGCGTAGTTACCTGCCAAAACAGAGCTGGTTTGACACTACTATGTGGCAAAAAGCTGCCAAGAACCTGGAAATACATATATATATGTCTTTATATATTCATAAATAAACATTTGATTTATGGGCACTACAATATCAAGAATTAAATATTTATAAGAAGACACACATACCAACGGTGCAGATATTAACAAAAATGCTAGAAAGGAAATGACAGATGAATGTCTATTTCAAATAAATCCTTTCAGTTCAAATACATAGTAATAATATATATGATCCACTGTGTGGAATTTTCAAAAATGTAATTTGAGATCTTTAGAGACTTATTTTATTGCTAATTGAATTTAATCTAAACCCAGTGACTATGATAAACGAAGCTGTAATTTACTGCAATCGTGGCTTCTATAAAAACATTTGTAATACAAGTTGATATGACATGGTTTGAAATGTTCATTTTGGCTGTAAACTGATTAGTGAAATCCTTAATCCTAGCGTACCTGGAGGGCGGAAAGCTAGAGGAAGAACAGCTCCAGAGCCAGCATGCACAGACGACTGCAAACACAGAACAGGCTCTGTTAAATCACAACATCTGGACACCACAGCACCAGAGGATAAAACATCTGGATAATTCAAAGAGATAAACACTAGGGAAAATAGTCTGTGCAAATATTTGATGTATGTGGCTTAACTGTCTCAAAGTATATGATGCTCTTCTACTCCACAGAAGCAGCACCTATTATATGTATTATGCCTTGAGAAATACTGTTACAGACAGTGATGTTTATATAGAACATTCTCAGTAGGATTTTCAGTGTTGAGTTTCTTTTCACACTTACAAGAGAGAGGGTCTTTGCAGGCACATCCTAGAGAAGCAAGCAGGACAAACAGGTGTCAGTGACTGTGTGGCAGATGTAAAACATTGTCAACTACAAACAGAATCTGACCTCTTCATTTGTCTCTCCACTTCCAAGAGAAGCATGGGCCTTCAGTATTTCAGCCTGAAGGAGAAGGACTAGTTAACCAACAGTACTTTCTACTCACTGCACAGTATCAGATTCATGCAACTGCAGCTACTTACATCAGAGGAGAGCAGGTAGGTTGGATCGAGCAGATTCGCCCAAATATGCAGTCGACTGAGGAAAGACTGAGAAAGAAGGAGGGCACAGTTCAACACTCATCAAAAAATATTAGAGGAGCTAATAAACAACGTGTCACTGTCACTGTCCTCATCACTACAGCACCACCGCTGTGCCCATTTACCTGTCCCTCGCTTTTCCAGTACAACAGATTAGGATCCATTAAAACAACGAGTACATTTGTGTGTTATGAATGAAATACATTGCTGCAACTCATGACCTACGCGAAACTGCTTCCGCCTTCAACCACGTGTCCAGTTGGGGGCTGGTTTTTAAATTTAGCGCATAATTTGTACATGCAGCAGTCTTACACCAGCGTTTAGAGCCCATGTTTAAGAAACCAGCTTAATCGAGTATTTAAAAAAAATTAACAATGTAATCCATTTTTATTTATTTATTTATTTATTTATTTATTCCAGGGGATTGGTGTGCCTCGAGCACGCGCGTACGTGACGCAATTACCTGTTCACACCGTCCTCCCGCTGACATAAACCAAAATGGCGACCACCATTGGCCGACTGCTCAGGACCTCTGTAAGTACACTTTCATAC